TTATAATAATTATATAAAAACTTAAAAAGCGCTGGTATAAACCTATTTACTGCACTGGGGTCTGAGATAATTAATGATAAGCTTCAATGAAGAGGTAAGTTTTGAGACAAGTTTTGAAAGAGACAGCGTCAGGTTGTGATCTCATGGTTATTGGCAGACTGTTCCATAGGCGAGGGGCTGCGACAGAAAAACCTCTGTCTCCATAAGTCTTCAACCTTGAAGATGGAGCCACAAGCAAACTTGTGCGCATCACTAGAATGTACATGTAGTTGGCACACAGGATTATAATGGCGATATGAGTTAAAACTACTGCAGACTGCTTACTGGGTTGATCTGAAATATACAAATCAACAAAATTAGACAGCCTAAAATTTTGATCGTAACAGAATCTTTCTCAAAAGTTTTAGACGCTGTTACCGAGTTGAACCAGGGAAGGTGCCTATTGCCAAACATGAAGTATATGCTCCTGTTTACTGGTGCAGACGTCTTACCACCGGACCACTGAGCTTGCCGGGGTCAGCTGGCTGGTTTGAATCTGTTAGCAACGGGTACCGCAACCAAATTATAAATAATTTGATGGAATTTGCTTAGGGGCAATTCCATGGTTAGTTTCATTACATTCTAAGCAATGTAGCACCACTCTTTTGACTCCTATATTAACGTGTGGCTATCATATCTCCATTATGATACCATCTGTACTTCTTACCAGGACTTACAACACAGCCATAAGCAAATTCATTTGGACACAATTTGTGAGTTGTAACGGGATGTGTTACAGTTAGTAATATTTAACGGACAAGGATAAGCAATATAATAAACGGACAAGGATAAGCAATACATGTCTTTGCATACAAAATTGTTTTTGCATTTCTGTAATTGCTACTCAATCCCTCATTCTCCTGACGACGGGCAGAGCATACTGTTCGAAACATTGAGTCCCTCGGTTCTTTTCAGAACCACACATACTCACAATAGAGATTTATTCACATGGTGCTACCGCAAACTTATCTCGTTTTAGTATCTTTCCACCATGCATACCTTCAAATCTCATCCTACTTATACTTACTGACAAATTTTTTGACATATAACATTTCTCAATTTCTCTCATCAGTTTAAACTTTGCCATAATTTCTTTGTTAGTTACATTACAGTTATGCGCCTATCAATTGTTAACCCCTCCCCCACCTTCCGAGCTGCCCCACCCAAGACATGGGGACTGTTACTTTTGAAGTGACAAATCGGTGTCAAATTCCCACCCCTAGGGCAAAATTTAAGTAACAATCTCCGACATACATACTTGGGATGCACTAGTAATTGCCTTTCCATGTATTACGCCAATGGTAACAGTGTAATTTGAGTAACCAAAATCTCCACCCTGGGGCATTAGAAACGTGACCAAATCCCAACGTTGGACCTTGGGAGGGGGGGGGCATTTGATAGGCACATTAGTTACATTACAGTTTCTCCGCCCATCTTTGGTACAAGTTTAAACATATATAGGAAAATAGTAATCAAACAAAAATGTTTGTGGCATAAAAAATATAAACCTTCTCTTTGTCTTATAAAAAAACCTCACAGTAACACTTGTATATATGTAGATTGCATGTTAAAATGAGGTGCCAAAATGACTACTGAAAATCCGTAATTGTGGCCAAAAATCAGGGTTTTTTACCCCCCAAAAAAATACACTTAACTTCAGTCTACCTCACTGGAACACCGCTCAAATGAAAGGTCTTGTTGTACCCTTTAATTCAATACCACATTCGAGATTGTGATGCTTGTAGTTCTAAAGATAAGAGCTTAATTTTCCACTTTTCAGTCCTGTCCACTTCTCTGTGGAATTACCCTTAGGGAGATGTGTACATTTTATTTTGGGTTTTGCCTTTCCCTGTTAAAAAAAGGACTGTACTTGTGGCCAGATGTGATGAAGTTGACATGGGCATTGTAAGCAAAGCAACAATGCTACAGTTTCAATAGGAATGTGCACAGTACATGTACACCCATGTACATGGGCATCAGGGGATCCGCTGTTTGCAATTACCAATGATGCAGAGTGGCATATCAATGGGTTGACCTGAACCTGAGGTCATGCTCTCATAGTACATGGAACCTTGTGTAAAACAGCAGCTCATTCCATTTGTGTGTGTGAGTATGTAAACACCAGCAATCCTGGACTAGGGACACAAGGGTTAGGGCACAAACAATACGTCCACGATTGACCTATCCCCATTTGCGACTTAGCCACGCCCCCTTAGACAACCCTATGGAATTGTGTACGTTAAATTTTGTTTGTTCCAGATTTTGCGTGTTCCGCGTCCATTTGTTTATCATGTAATTGGACAAGATTTCGCAAGCTGCGTTGACGCGATTCTACCGCGATTGGTTAATTGACCAAAAGTCCACGAATGAAATTCGTGTACAAAACCAATGAGAGATGTTGCTATAAAGTTGTTGCTACATGTATAGAGTACAAACAAAGGAATAAGGATTAGGGACAATAGGGGGTCCACGATTGCAGGTGTTTACAAAGATGGGTGTGTGTGGGGGGGGGGGGGGGGGGGTGTGGGGCTGTGTCGAAAAATGATGCCTTGTGGAGCACCGGGTATAATACGGAACAAAACATTGCAAAGGTCTCCACAAGGCAATTTCTAAAGGTGAATAGGTCTCCATAAGGCTTTTACGAAATAGATATAAATGGATTTTACTCAAAAACTATGAATTTCCAAGGTGTACTTATATGTCGCAAATTAAAGTATTTTATGTACATGTACATGTAAGGGATATTTGGTTGGAATTTCAACCCAGGAAAGTAATTCTAGTTAAAATTTTGAAAATACATACAGCTTTCGACACTCTCATGATTTTGTACAGAACAAAGCGATGTCTCCACACCAATACAGATTTGAGAATGCATGGTTATTTCTGTGTTGTTGATATAATGGTGATGTACTGTGTAATGCACCCTATAGGTTTGACAATCCAGCTAGTACAACAAAAAACAAAAAGAACTGTAGAATTTAGCAGATTTGAACAAGAAATTAACTATTGTCTCAAAGGGATGTACAGGATGCATACTATGCATTTTCAAACTGAACATATTTTTCAAACCAATTTGATGATAGTCAATAATGAACACTACTCCCAGCAAAAGAAGAAAAAACAAGATCGTGGTGAAAGTAGTTTTGTACAATGTGATATTTACATTGTGCTTCTAATTTTATTTTTTACCCTGAACATGAAAAATGGAAAAATTAATTAATATTTATCGCATACCTTTGACCAAAAAAATTGACAAGATTCCAGACCAGACTCTTAATAGACAGTTTGACATGTAAAGGCTTTCCTCTCCCTGGTCATGTACATCAACATAAATAAAAGCATAGGCCTGCATTAGTACCAAAATGGAAGCAGCATTTAGAATAGCTTTATTACTTGCTGCATGCTCATGTGCATACGTTAGCAGTTGGGCATATCAGTAGGTCATCGTGCATGCACAAGGAATCACAATTTGTCTTGCAATGCACGGGACTCCCAGGTCGAAAAATAAGATTTAAGCACCTCCTTAATTACCTCATCTTTGATTGAATGCATCGTGGGATAGCCGCGGGGCGTTCGGTGCGGGGACATTGTTGACATGGTGAATGAGTGTCAAAGGAAATGAGGACCCAAGATAGCCTACCTGTGATGATCTTAAGAGAGAGGAAAGGCTCTGGGGGAGATTCCACATCAAACGTGTGGCTGCATTATTATGGCTCGCTCTCAGCTTGACTTCGTCATATTCTAATTGAGATGTCAAGTTAATTTTGTCAATTTATGAATATTGAATAATGAATTCCTGAAATCCCTGAACCGTAAATTGACCTTTCGCTACAGACAGTGAATTCAGACTGATGCGAGTGACACTTGCATGCCTAAAGAGGGCCTTTAATTAACAAATCTGTAACTGCCAAGTGCCTAGTAATTTTTTTTAAGTTGAGTGATCCCAAATCTACCAAAAGCAAGAACTTATTTCCTTGATTTTGATAACTTTTTTTCATAAGTGGAGGACTTCAGTGCCCAGCCAATAAAACTTCAATACTTGGCATTGGGGTTGATGCCCTGGTCTTGTCAAACATTTCCAAAAATGTGCTGTTATATGGGTTTGCTGAATGTTACTGTTTCTTTGTTTGTTTTGTTTATATATATATTTTTTTTTAATTATTTTTTATAAAGTTAGAAATATCATGGTTTTGTTTTGTTTGATTTAAAGTTAAGAATTGCAAGGGCTAATATTTTCAGGATCTTGGTTTTGTTGTTGTTGAATATAATACCAAAGGATCTGAAATGGTATTCAGTATTCTGCTAAATATACTTAAATTTCTGTTATAATTTGTATTATTAGCAACATGGAAACTACTGCTGTTTGACTTTGTCTTATAACTGACATAAGAACTTTGAATCATAAGAATGGCATCTTGCTGCTTCACTATCATTTCCTGGAAGATGATTAATGCAGAAACCACTAGAGATATCTTGGCCAATATTGACATTGTATTTTAATAATGATAAAACAATGTGGCAGATATGTCTTCTTGAATTATATTTTGTTACTCAAGATTTATAGTCCTAAAATTAAAGATGCAAAATTTAAGAAACGTTAAACTTACATAGTGTACATGTGGGCAATTCCAGCATTATGAAAGGACGTGTAATGTCCGCGACAGAACCAATGATATCTACTTGATGATTCAGAGAAATGACCCAAAACTCCTAGTCTGTAATCTCCCTGACCATTACTAGATGATGGATGTATAAGATTTGAAAAATACATTGTCAGGTTTATCCACTTACTTCTTAAAAGCTCTGTCACGGACATTACAAAATGCTGGAATTGAAGCACCCACATTGGCAAAATAAAAAATATGGCATATGCACATTTAGCAACTCCGTCAAAATTAGTTTTATGACTTCAAAAAGCTGCCTTCTATTAAATTGATTTTTGACAATTGGTTTTTTTTTAGTTCTACCTGCAAGACACCAAGAGCAGCAATGGGACCTTCATCAACAACCAGCGCCTCAGCAGGGGGGCGGAGGAGAGCCCTCCCCACGAGCTCAACTCAGCAGATATCATCCAGTTTGGGGTGGACGTCATGGAGAATTCAAGGAGAGGAGTCGGTACGTATGACGGGGGAGAAATTGTAGATTTGGGGATGGGGTAGTCTTAATCCAAGGCTGGACTTGGATTTTTGTGCCCCTCTTACACATCAGGTCGCGATCCCTGGCTAATGCTTTGAACCCCGAGGCAGTAGAGGGCGCTTCCAATAAGATGAATCGCATCCAGTTTTGGGAATATTGGCGCTCAAACCCAAGATTTTCCTGACATACACCTCATGCACACTACTTAAGCTAATGTGTGCTTTGAATGTCGTGGGTCCAAGCGCCAAAGTTCCCAATACTACATTAAATTCATCTCGTTGAAAATGCCCTGTACTGCTACGGTGGCTTGATCGCGCTTGCCAAGGATTGGGACCGGATTGGATCAAGACTAGGGATGGGGAAGTGTTGTTGATTGGACAGAGTTAGAATGTTGTTGTGTTAAATGAAGTCTTCAGTTTGTGAATATCAGCAGAAGAATGACATGACAAAATCAGGAATCTGGTAAAATTATCAGAAGTGAGTGTCCTGACATTTGTAAACAAGGACATACTGTGGATATGAGTTTTGTGCTTTATCCAAATATCTTGTTTATACTGGTAGGTCTTCGATAATTACAGCTACGGGAAGGCATACATGTACCGGTACATGTACATTGTACTAATAATAGACGTATATCTCTGGAAGCCTTTTTCAGAAGTTGCTTTCCATGCATCATTATCGTCATAATCTTCCAGTAATGCAGAATCCTTGATGCTGATTGGTTCATCCATAGCAACAGCTTGGTGCCTTTTTTCCATGTTGCACATTCTCTGTATAAATTGAAAAGTGTGCACCATTCACTGCAGTACGAGTAACGTCCTTCAAACAAACGTACAATCCAAATAGGATCACCACAAGCATTTTGATAATTAAATTTGTTTGAAGATAAATTCATTATCCTGTGCAAGCTTGTGGAACACAGAAAGATTAAGTCTGTCTGCATCCCGCATGGTACCCAACCTTCGGCCTTATTGCATACATGGCATTTGACAATGTATGTATTTTGTGTGTAAGGCCAAAAAAAAAAATAAGTCGGTCTCTGGTCAGGGCGCAATCTTTTTTTTTTCAAAAATGTTCCGCGGTAGCTCCAACAGCGCCCTCTCTTGCCGCACCTCCTCATTTGTTTTTTTACCAAAGAGCACCAAGGAATGGGATATTGCACCACGGCAAATGATCGAGAGCACCAAGGCAAATTATGGAGGACACCAATGTACATGAGGACACCAAAAAAGCAAAATAGTACCCCACCTTGTCTGTACAATCCAAGCTTGAAGAAGAAAAAAAAAAAAGCAAAAAAAAAAAAAATCCGCGTCGCCGCGTCAGTTCCAGAACTTTGGTCTGACCAGAGACCGAATATTTGTTTGGGGGGCCTAAAAGAGAGGTGTGCATGTTTTAAAACAGCCCTCACAACACGTACTTACAAAGCCTTTGGTATAATACTGCCTAGACTTGTCACTGTAGGTGTACATGTTGTTACTGTAGATGTACATGTACACATGCTGCACAGTGTCAGCTTTCAGAGTCTTGCGTGAATATAGGCCATTCATAATGTGCAGGGTTCATTCATATCTGGACAGAGTACTGTCGGTACGTCATTTGTCAAATGGTTGTCGTAGCTATTAATGTGTGTGCATTGATATCTGCCTGTGCTCCCTCACTCAGGCCGTGTGTGCTGTCTTAATTGGCTGCTGAGGTGGTTCCAACATGCAATCTTAGAAGCCTTAGGTGTTTGGTTTCATCTTTGGATGCAGGATGGGCTCTTGAGCAAATCTTGAGGAGAGATAGAGATATAAAGACCCCTCCCCTTTTTAGAAACACTGTCCCATCTGTAACGATTAGGGCCTATAAAACCGGTAGTATATATTTTTTTCAACTTTTTAGTTAAAAAAATACACAATATGAAGTATTCTGGATGTATTCCTTACCCCTAACCCCTTGAGTGATTTACTAGGAACCTTCCTCCCTCTTGCAAAATCCAACACTCTGTGGTAAGTCAACACCCAAAACAAACTGTTGGACTCTGATTTCGGTGGTATGCCTGACCCCAAGTAAAGCATGTTCTGTCTACTAGTGCAGTACTCACTCCAACAGATTCCAACAAAACATGCAGTTGGATTTTGATGGGTTGAGGCAGTTCGAGTTAATGCAGTCATCCTCCAAGAGTGATTTTGAATAGCAAACTACATACCCAGCAAATAAAAACTCATTTGTCGTTCTTAATAATGATACTTGAGTGACAACTTACAAAGAACCAAGATAACAGGGACAGGAAAAAGGTCACACTTTGGACCTAAATTTATAGACTGACCTATCTACCGGTAGGAGTATAAATACACAGCTCACATATAGGAGTATATGTGACCTGCCATAGCATAATGAGGAATAACCCCCACCTTTGACTTTTCGCGTTGTGTACATGACGTTAAAGTGCAAATCATAGGCTTTCTAATGATACCAAATTTATTTCTGTAGCTTAATTTATTCCAAAGATATGATGCAGGAACTTCAACAGTGTCCTGCCAAGTTACCAATCTCAATTTCGAGAAAAACGGCTTTGAAAAAAAAAACACGCATTGCGCCGCCAGCGGCAGTGATAAACGTACATGTACTTCAGTTTTTCCACTTTTGTGGGGTATTTTTCCCCAACAAAAATGAATAGTGTGAATTTTGGATACCTTGGTTACTAAAAAAATGCAAAACAATCAATATCGATGTAGACATGATTTTTCTAGCGTATCCGACTTCAAACGTCGATTACTCAAAACAAGGTTTGGGGGACATTCCTCATTTTGCCACAGTAGGTCACATATGTACACATATCTATACCGGTACATCTTCCGGAGCCATAATTTTCAATTGCAACATGTTACATGTACGTCTGTGCAGAACACATTGTGTGTACATGTATGTTTACCATTGACCCTACACACATGTCTATTCAGTGTTATGAGTTATGATCTGCCAAGCGATGCACATCAGTTTCAAGGTCAACATCCTGGCAGTGACTCACTAATGATATATGACTGCAGTGGACAAAAAGCAAAAATATTTCTTTAGTTTGTTTTTGGCTCATCAAAACAGAATATTTATAATTTAATGCTGCCCCTGCAGTATCATAACAGAATAAGTGGTGGGATTTAAATCTGGATTCTTTTTATTTGGTTTGAATTCACTTTTGGTTTCGATTTTGGAAAACGAATATTCGAAACCAACCTTTAAAAAAATTAAGCCTTCCATTTTTGTGACACAGATTTTAAAGAAAACAACTGGAACATCCCCCAATGGAGTACCGAAGTGAATACGTCACGCGCACAAAATGGGTGTAAAAGACATTAGCGCGTGATTCAGCCTGAGAACCAACACGCGCGCGTATTCCATTCGTTTGCACTACATTTTCTGGTTCTAAATGACGTCACACTTCGGTACTCCATTTGCTCCATAGTCTCTGATTGTAGCTGCATTCACTTGCTTGTGGTCTTCTTGGTGTATGAATAGCCTTCCAATTTGACTTATCAGAGAGAACCCAAGTTCCCACCAATTTTGTCAACATTACAGCTCTGGAGTGGTTTTGTAAAGGCCCAAATGCAGTGGTCATTGAAACTCTACCCAATCATTTGGAGGGCATTGCATGCCGCACCTCACTCGTCACTTTTTGTTGGCATGAATAAATGAGAACTTCCAGTGAAATCAGATTACCGTTATTCGGTTTGAAAAAAAAAATTAGCATAACCGGATTTTGAAATCTCTGATTTCTCCCGCCACTAAATAGAATACATACAGTTGTGGGATTTTTTCATTAAAATGTTGTTAATTCAATGAGCTTGGAGTTGAGGGATTTTCAAATATCAATCATGACTTTAACCCTAACGTACCTGAATCCATCAAAATCCACACCCCTGTTTCGGGGGATTCCGGCGGATACAGGATACCTCTATATTGCACAAACTGGGGGATTTTGATGGATTCAGGATTGTAAGCCTAGCGGAACTGCAGGATTTTTATGGATTCAGGATACCTCTATACTGAGCTGTTGGGGGACTTTGGCGGATTCAGGATCTCAACTGATTTACTCCCGGCTAACTGGTGGATTCTGATGGACTCACTGGCCACCAACATTTTCTTGCATGGCCAAATTGATGGATTTTGGTGGAATCAGGATACTTTCTAGTAAATGAGCCCAAGGGGTTAGGGTTAATACAAAGACTGAATAAAATGAACATCCAAACAGTTTAATCAGTGTTATCCTGAAAATGAAATAAATGATTTCTTTCTGTGTTTATTTTACTATTTTTTTAGTAACCCATGGATGTATAGTTTCCCAGCTGACGTTATTCAACCCAGATGGATCAGAGGCAATCAGGAGGTATGTAATTCCATATACTTTTACTCTTTTGACTCGGCAAAGTTTCTTTTTTGTTCTGTCTTGGACACTGTATAAGGCCACGGACGGTGAGACCACTTCACACAATCTTACTCTGAGCTTGCACACCAGTGTGCACTTTTTAAAGTCAAGTCACCCTCCCCCCTTCCCTTCCTTTAGGATTCCCAGCCACTCTAGAAATCTAGGTGTAGATTATTTGCGTTACTACTTAAAGAGGTTGTGGAATGCTCGAAGACATTTCCGTCATTTTCGGGTAAATGTAGCCTAAGGTGTGATGAAATAAAAACGACTATTGTGTCTGTCATGAAATGAGTACAAAAGGTACTTTTGAGAGCTGTTTTTCAGGTCCTGTTTCGACCCGAACGTGCAATTTGTGTAAAAGTCGTCGTTGGGGGCAGCAAACAAAACATAGTAAATCGTGACGTAATAAACAGGACTCGTTTACACTACCCTGCATTGGGAGTCCTGTTTATTACGTCACGATTTACTATGTTTTGTTTGCTGCCCCCAACGACGACTTTTACACAAATTGCACATTCGGGTCAAAACAGGACCTGAAAAACAGCTCTCAAAAGTATCTTTTGTACTCATTTCATGACAGACACAATAGTCGTTTTTATTTTATCACACCTTAGGCTACATATATACCCGAAAAATGACGGAAATGTCTTTGAGCATTCCACAACCTCTTTAAATGCATAGCATTGATGCTTCTCTTACTTGCGGATCAGTTTTTTAATCTTTCCTCAAAAGTTGTTCAAAATTTCGTCCCCTCCCCAACTGCACCCAGTACATATACCTGGACTGAATTTGGCACATTTCCTGCAGTCAAACGCAATATCCGTTCCTGTACCCCTGACCACAACCTTTCAGTCACTGACAGAAATTCCCAAGGCAAACGATATAAACTGGTAGTTTTCTGTAATCAATCTACCTCATGATTCAAGAAATCTCAGCGCGCACACCAGCATGCATAAAGTTGCACACAAATACGGCGCCATGGAACAAGACTGATCCTAACTGTTGAATAGTAAATCCCATTCCCCATGGGCGAATCGGACTTTTTGAGCCCCGGCGTGAATGGGAGCAATAATGAATGTCACGTGATGTGAGTTCCACCACTCAACTGATAACAAACTACAGGTAATGATAACGAAATAACAAACGACCACTATAAGAAACATTTTTTATGGACCCCAACATGTTCGTTATAGTGAAGTTCGACTGTATAAATATTAAGTAAATTAAAATATCAGTGACTGTTTTGTTCCTTTTGAAATTCAAGATGTGTAGCACGGAGTCCAGATCTGTTGAATTTGTCACTCATGTCCTTGTGATTTATTTCACATTTTTATCATTAGAAATGGAATCCCTTATCAATCTGTTCAGTTTTGTTGATGACTTTTCCAGAAGCGTTTCTGTTTCGTTTCGTATGAACCTATGTTGTACACATTAGTCTGAACCTCGCTCGACATGTTCCCTTTGATAGAAAGATCATATGTTCATCATGCGTATTACATTTTATTTCTTCACATGCTCAACACATGTAAGCAGAACAAGGAAGCTAAATTCTGACATGATGATTTCCAAATATAGCACTGAGAGGATTTGCAAACATTTACGTTCAGGAATTTCGGAGTCAAGTTCATTTTAAAAATAGTCAAAACAGATTGAAACAATTTTGCTGTGCCTAATGCACAGATTTGCCATTGCAAAGCCAGTTGACATCTCTGCAACACAATTTTGTACACTTTTGTCAACATCACCTTTAAATTTGTATCACAAGATTTGCACTGATGGTTTGTTGCTGGTGCACTGACCTTAGATGCATGGAATAAATCAGGGCAGGAGGAAATAAGCTTATTAGGCTGAGGGTAATGTTATAGATCTGCAGCAAGCATAGTTTTGCTTGTGTAAACTTGTATTTCCTCTGATCAAAAAAATCAAAATATACTTACCCTAACCACCCCAACTCCATCAAAATCCCCCCCCCCCCCCATTTTGGTTGATTTTCTGGACTTGGTCCAGAAGGCCTGGCGTGACTAAATATTAATGGAGTACAAATAGCTTCCTGTACTGCTATTGTGATAAAACTAAAGCCATGTGTAGCAAGTCCATGTACATGTATGTCGACCAGTGCGTCAGTGGTGGATTCCATTATGTCATGTACAGTTTTTGTATTGCAAGCACCGTGATTGATGGATTTTGATGGACTTGGTCCAGTTCCTAGTAAAAGGCATTAGGAAGTTAGGTTTAAAAAACAAAGTGCAAGCATCAAACTTTAATAGGTTACAAATGTACATCAGCCAGTTTGATGTACATGTATGGAATTTATTATTATTTTTTCTAAAATGTTTGGCCAAATTAATATGTAATACATTATTTTGTTTTTGTTTTTGGTACATGTACTTTATTTTGTACTCAATTTTCATAAAGATCATTCTGTATTCAGAAATGACCTTCTTGTACATGTGAGAGGTACATGTGTGAACATGTCTTTAAATGCATGTATACATCCCTAATATAAGAAGGTAAACTTGTGGAGATTTTGACAACTAAAATAACCAAGAAAGGTCGGGTGCCAGACTGGTCTTAATATACAGTGTACTATAACATTGTTGTTTGTTTTTTTTATTTCTCAATGTCTAGTTCCCCGGCTCCAACACTAAGTTACAGCAGTACCAGTCCAACCACTAACAATGTCCCATCCCAGGACCTGTACCAGTTATCACACTACCTCAAGGTGAGAAACAGAGCAACATTGGATTGTAGACCTTAAGCCGGCTTCAGGTCTACCTGCAATTTGCTTGCGCCATGATGGAACCGTCAGCATCAAGTACATACGTACTGCTCAGGTCACGAAACTGAGAAATCGTGTGATTCTTTTGAAACAAACGGCATCCCGATGCAAAATAATCGCCCATGTCACCCACGACGCGACGATCCTCCACGATTCCACAGCATAGACAGTCACGTGACTTCTTTACCAATAAGGGAATAAATTTGTGTTTGGCCGGTTCGGCTCGTGCCATTATCAGTGCACATTCCCTTATACGGTCTTAAATGTACTTGCGGTATTCCCATTCACAAATACCTTTGAGTCAAAAAGTCGACACAAGTCAAAAATTATACATTTTCAATGATTTTGTTGAACAGTTTTATTTCATTTTCTTAAACACCCCTCAAGCTATGGTATGGAATATCCTCTCGCGAGTAGTAGTAAACAATCTCCTTATATGGTGATTGACGCGCGCGTGGTGCGTACTGCTTGATGTTGCGCAGAACGCGGAGCGCCGGTGTATGGTTTGCTGATTGGCTACACAATTGAAAAGAATGATCTTGATGCGCACACAATCGCGACCTTGTCGTAGAAGTTGAAATTGTTCTACTCTTGCGACTGTTGATTTTGTTGAGCGCCGACTAATTCCGATCGTCTTAATATTGTCGCAGTTACACTCAGGTTGCACAAAATCGGTGACTGAAATGTTCCCGACGGTCATAGCTCAGACGCAGCTTGATCCTGAAAAGTCAGTCGCCAACTGATCTGTGTTGTCGCAAGGTCGACCTGAGGGCAGCTTTACAATTGTTTGGCATCAGTTTACCCTCATCCTCAAAGCATTTTATTTTTTACTAAGACCCTTCCTGAATTCACCACATACAGGCCTTTGTGATTTTGGAAATATCCTCCAAACCATATTATAGTGCCGGGCTGATTTAGGGTTGTATAGGGAGTGGTTTGAGTGTGTTTTGAGGTGTTTTGAATGATTGGTTAAAGCTTTATCATCTTCAATCCACGTTTGACTGTAACAGGAGGCTCTGCATCGTGAGCAGATGTTGGAGCAGAAGCTTGCCGGCTTACAGAGGTTACTCTCCTCCACCCAGGAGGCGTCAGAGTGTAGCTGGCAGGCACTCATTGATGAGGATAGACTACTGTCTAGGCTCGAGGTACTAGAGAGCCAACTTAGAGCATATTCAAAGGTAAGATGCATGTCTCTTAAGTAATCAACTTTCCTTCCCTCTGTTGGTTGCTTACAGTAGGAGCAAGTTCAAATGGGCACCATCGCTGACTAGTGGTTGATTTGTGGCGTAACTTAGTGCCCGCGCACCAAAGGCAATGTGCAGATGTCTACATGGTGATGGTGACAACATCCTCACAAAATTCTGAGTGCTGGCTCCCTGCTGTGCTTTATGATGCGCGCGGCTATTGGTAACCAGCCAATGTGACCCACATCATTGCCCTGGTCCAGAATAGTTGACTAGACTAGTCCAACTATCGTTGACTAACCAGCGTTTGACCAGAGTTAGCCCAACTGTGGTCAACTGTAGTTCCTGATCGAGCTTGCTCTAGGAGCAAGTTGGAACGAGCACTGTGGTTAACCATACAGGTCGAGTCAAAAAAAGCGGAACCCAAACCCCGCAAAATATATTTAATATTTAAAAAAAAATATTTGAAAAAAATAATAATGACTGGAAAGCCAATTTCATAAACTACTTTTAGATGAAAAAGTTACTGAAATTGCTCAATCCGTTCAAAGTAAATCACCATTCAAACGCAATGACCCTAAAACCTCTTTCGTCCAAAAATGCGATTTCAAGAATCGTCACAATTGTCTTCAAACATCACCAGCGATAAAACCTCAGTTTAAAAGTTAAAAATATTTAGCAAAGTCCTTTTGAAGGCCCATCTTTTAAAGACAGTTGATTTTATAAATCATATTGTTTGCCTGAGCAGGGTTGTTAATAAAAATATTGTGTACTACAGTTGTTGACAGTTGTTAAAACAAGTATTCTGTGTCATTTTCTTTGTTGTTCCAAACAGTCAGAACACGCAATAAATTACTTTTTTTTGTGGAAGAAACAGGTTTTACTGTCATTGCATTTACATTCTTATATTCTTTGAACTGATTGAGTAATTTCAGTAATTTTTCATCTAAAACTAGTTTATGAAATTGGCTTTCCAGTCATTATTGTTGTTGGTGCTGCATATTTTTTTAAAATATGAAATATATTTTGGGGGTTTGGGTTCCGCTTTTTTTACTCACTCTGTAGTTCGAATAACTGCACTTGAACGCAGGATGTTTGGACTAAATCTAGTTGACCATATGTAACCGGACCACAGGGCGCGGTTGCTTCACTGGTTACCAATAGCCTGGCGCATAATAAAGCATAGCAGGGAGCCATGACCAAGAAGTTTAATGATAACATTTTGACCATCGTTTGGCTGGAGGTGTTCGCACATTACTATAAGTTTGCAGGGATAAATAACATTACAAATCAACCACTAGTGGACTAATGGTCCTTGCTCTCATTAGCTCTAAGCTGCTCAGTTGGTAGTCTGTCGAGAGCACCATCATTTTTTGAACTAACGTACACACTGTACAATATGGTGCCATTCGTTACTTTTACCCACCACGTTATTTCTGGTAACCTCCAATTTATTTGAACTTTGCTTGGATGTATATTTTTTCATCCATTTTAACTTGATTTAATACATCCACTCATGTATGACACATACATGCATTGAGCCATACTTTGTGAAAAAGGTTATATGGGCTCTGTGCGCAACAAAAGAGGGTGCCCTTTTACCTAGCAACAACGTCCCATGGGCGGGACACATACATTTTGCCTGCTGACACGCACGCACCGTTCCTTGTGTGTGACGCAAGTACACCAGGGGATTTGTACTATGTACACGCAGTGGCCGCGCTTCGCGGCAAAATATTGCAGTCAGGCAAGATGGCGTCGATCGGTCACCCCAACTGTACTTTCTTTGCCGGTGAGGGGGTACTTGTGAATGGAGCAGATCGGGTGATTGTTGAAAGTGAATTCTCTTAAAATGTTTCTTGTGTTGTTATGTTTTCAGGCCAACTCAGAAGAGAGTATACGGAAGGAGTTGGTCGCGTTGCAAGAAGACAAGCACAACTATGAGTCAACGGCCAAAGAGTCTCTCAAGAGGGCGCTAGAAGAGAAACTAGACGCGTGCCGGAAACTTTCGGACTTGGAGGTATTGGTTCTGAAATTTTTGAAACTGATTCCAAATTCTAATATTTGTTTGTCAATGAGTTGCAATTCAGACTACAGTAGAACGTCGCTATTCCGAACACTTTCAAACAAACGTTCAGCTATACCGAACATCAGCCTTGGCTCCCAATTTTTGTGTACAAAACGTACCGAACATTGTTGTTGGAAATGTCAACAGAAGAGAGACTAAAAGGCTATTATTTCCCCAACGAATAGTAGGAAAAAGCCACCCATGTAAGCTCAAAAACTGTGTAATTACATGATTCAATAGTCGCACGTGTTCGAAGTCGTCTTTCAGTAACTACCAGGGTGTACTTGGTGAAGGTCTGCTAAGGAACTGAAAATATTAATGGACACGTTTGGCGACTCCGAGCATGGTTTGTAAATGCAACTACACAATAACAATGATCAAAAGAGGGCGCCACTAATGTGTGAAAATCACTTTACCGAACGATCGCTATTACGAACAATTTCTGTGGATCCCACGGTGTTCGTTATAGCGGCGTTCCACTGTATTTGAATAAAAGAAAAATCTGACAAAGAGTTTGAAATTTAGATTTGTACCCCAGTGAAAAGGAACATAATCATTGGGGAAAAAAGACTAATTCAAATGTTGTTGTTTCTCTTTTATCAGTTTTATTTTCTCTTTTAATAACTTTCTTTGTCTCCAGAGAATGTTGAGTAATTCCGAGGATGAGTGCGCTCACAGCAAAGAGGAAGTAGATCGTCTGCAGGTCGAGCAGCAAGCCTTGATCACCAAGCACACGGAAGTCGCTGCCGAGCTGAAGGAAGTGGCTCAGAAACTCACCGAGGCTGAAAAGATGCATGCTGATGAGGTCAGGGTTCAAACTGTGTAGAAGTACGAAAAGGAAACAGCGCCCTCTGTTGGCAGCATCCCAGAATTACTAATGAATTCACAAAACCAACAGGGAGCGTTGTTCAGTTTTGTACTTGAAATTTTTAAAAAGTCTGAGAATTTGTACGTTCCAATATGGTGTTTTTATTGCTGGGACTAAAAGTATAACAATAAGAGTACAACAATATATGATATAAATGCTTCAAACTAGCTTGAATATTTCAGGTAATTTTTTTCTGGATAGAGTATGGCACCATTCTATGCCGTGAGGAAAATGCCGTAGGAAAAAAAAACATGCTTGAAAATGACCAACGATCATTTTCAAGGATCTAAATTTGTGTTACTTATAAATGCCTGAGCCAGTTGTTCCTTTTGCTCAAGATCCTGTCGCGTGGGAGGTTTTAAACTGCTGTTTAGACTCCGCTTGATGTTTAAATGACAATGTTTAAAACCAGTCACAAGACCGCATGCTCTGTGCCACATGTGCACGGTACACGCCGCATGGGCTGGCTATAGCCACGGATATGATCTCCATATAAGGAAATGTTGATCACATTGTGTGTACCATAGACGTGGCCTGAACATGGAGTAAAATGGTTGAAGAAAATCGTTTAGAATTTGTCAAATTTTCGACTTATTTTGGCTTTTGATTGAAAAGGTTCGGCTCGGGCCATAGCCGGCAGACAGGACTCTGACCGGGGGTTTCAAATCACATGTTTATAATTGCGCAATCACACTATTATCCCCTTATTAAAAAGGTTGAATTTAAATTGTTTGCTTTTGTAATAATCCAAGTCTTGTACCTCTTCATATTTCACACTTTAAGGTGGAGAGACTGACAATCGAGAAAACGGAGCTGGAACGGAAGGTTGACATCGCATCCCGGGAGGAGATCGCGTTGGCTACCAGGATTGAAGAGATGCAGGCAGAGTGTGACTTTGCCAGAGAGCAGCACGCAGCCGTCAAACGTATGTCAGGTTTATGGCGGCTAATACAGTGACGCTTTGTCGCTATCCACAGCATTCCTTTCCCTTGGGGGGGGGGGGGGAGGGGAGGAGATTTATTTGGAACTAACCTTTTTCAAAAATGGAATTTAACCTCAAAGGCAAAGGCAACTCAACGTGGGTGCTTATAGAAAAAAATAGGCAGTAAAGAGAAAGTAGGAAACTATTTAATTTTTCTTGAACTGAAATACATCATATGAATGGAAGGAACTGGATACTGGCATGACGTTCCACAATGAGGCTGCCCGGGGGAAGAAACTTGGAAGACCAACTGTATATGGATGAAAGACGGTACTAAAACGTGTCAAGCAGTTGAAGGAACAAGATTGGGAAATAAGACGTAACTATTCATTTACTGAAAAATTCCCATTAACAGTTCGTTATGAGGAAGTTCAGGAGCAGCTCAAGCACTACGTCAAGGACACAGAGAAGTCTGACAAGACGGACGAGCAAGAGAAGGAGGACACAAATCTTAAGATCATCCAGGAGAACGAAGATGACACAAGACAGATCATCTCTAAAGAGGACACCGACTCCACAGATGCTAACACGTTAGGTAAGCACCAAGCTACAAAATATGGGTCAAAAAGGTTTTGGAGCAGCTAAGCTGATAATAATGCTTAGTGGATTTTCTTTCTAAGCAAAATTCAGCTGGGAACCAGTCACAAACAGTATACTTTGCATGACATTTTGGCTGGTGCCCTGTATTTGCTAAGCAGATTTTTTTTGTGCTTAGCATATTTCTGTGCTTAGCAGATGATGTACAGAAAGGTAACTTTTCTTTGGGTGAGCACCTACTGGCGCACATAGAGCTCGGCTTTCAAAGTTAGAGTGTGGATCATTTGCAGCTAACCAAAAAGTAACCGACCAAATTATTGTTAAACAGCTTACTTGGTTTAAAGATATAATGGCACTAAGTTCCCTGTGAAATTTATTCTTTCTTGCATGCTGTCATTTTGAAGAAAACAAATAAAAGAAGGTCACTTCCAAAGATGTGTCAAGTGACACGTTTTTGGAAATTTCCGTTTGTAGTTGGTTTGTAATTGGGTGAATCTGCGAATGGGTGCGAGAGTTGACGTGACACACATACGCACGCGGTTGCCATTATTCATCGGTTCAGTGTGTGACATCACGTAGCTACAATCGGCTGGATGAGAATCATGTCGCGAAGGCTGATTTCAGGATTGTGTCACAAAAGGGCGTAATTCAAAATATGACTTGGCAACTTTTGAACTGAAAAAGAGATCCAGAATATTGTATTTTCTCTGAATATACAGCATTCACAGAGCTAAAACGTCATCGGGTTAGCTGTTAAGCATCTGGCTTTAGATTTTGAGCACTTTTGTTGCTTCAAACGAAAAAAATGCACAAATGACAAATTGTCCATTCTATCGTTAATTTGAATTGTTTTGCATCCTCAGACAACAGCAACAAGTCTCTTAAAGAAGACGAGGAAGACATCGAGAAGGATGCGAAGGAAGAAACAAAGGAGAAAGCAAAGAAACAAGAAGATGAAGCTAAGACCAATGGAGAGGCAACGCCTACAGGTAATACACCTGAACCATCTACCCATTGTCATATGCATATTCATGAGCTAGCACCCTACACTCATTGGTTAAATAATCATGTCATGGCATGTGACATATTTCGTACAACTTTTGATGTATTCACCTGATATGTTGTCAAATGTGGCAAATACTTTAACAGGGACACCTGCCATATGCTGTGTAACCATTTTGAGATTTTTTAACAGGGTGTCCAGCCACTCTGAAAATCAGGGAAAATCTTGAAAATGAGTTTTTATTTTTCCATTTAGGGAAAAATTGAGGAATTTGGGGAAAAACTACAAAAATCAGGGAAAACTCTGGGAATTTAACAGTGACCCAGAAGGGAAAGATTTTCACCAGTTATGTGCGTCTTGTGCCACATGTCCAAGTTGTGTCCATTGACTGACTGGCTATGGTGGCTTTTTAGTGTTTATGCAGTGAGAATACTACATCGATGATTTTCATGGTCTTAATCTCTCCAGACAATAATAATTGTCTGTGCTACACCGCCTCTTGACTTCCCAGCAACCTCGTTAAAGTGAAAAATATTTCTCATGGAATCTTGTAAATTTTTCATGGAAAAATCAGAGAAAAACTCGGATTTTGTTTTCATAAAGCACTGGGAACCCTCTTTTATCATTTTGAAATTCTTATTTGGTTCTCCCCACACACAGATGCCTCGCCAACCTCACCTAATGAACCTTCGGTACAAGGAACATTAGAACAGCAACTTGAAAGATTAAAAGGTAGGTCAGATCAATGGTAGAACAACTATGAAGCCAAATGGAACCTCCGTTATTAGTGGTAGCACTTGATAAATTCAGTCGCAGTGATAAGGGTCTGTTCAGATGAAACACACCGCTGTAATAACACCGCTATACCGAACATTTGGCTATACTGAATATCATCCTTGGCTCCCGATTTTTATGTACAAAACCTGCCGAACATTGTAAACAAACTTGACACTAATTCTTATCAAAATTACTCAAAAATAGAATTAAAATGTAAGCAATTTTAACTGAAATAAAATTATTACATGTACTTAAAAGTCAAATTAAAAATTAGGAAAGATTAGCACATGTCCAATGGCAAAAAAAGGGAAATACATAACATTTATTTAATGTAGTTGGGGGGACCACACAGCAAGTTGTACGGTATGTTTTGTGGGGACCAAAGATGCTGTGGGGATTGTCAAAATTCCCCACGACTCGGCGCAAATTTTCCTGATGGAAAACTTCTCTGGAATGTTGTGCCAGCTGGGGCTTTGGACTGTGTGCAAAAAAGGGCAGTGCACTGTTTAGTTCCATAGTTGAAATAAAAACACCCATCTGAACATGAGCAGCAATGGAACAAACATTGTGATTTTCATTTGATGCAGGTGAACTGGTAGACTCCGAAACCAGGCTACAGGAGAGCCAGGAGCAGGTCAACGGCCTGCAGCAGCAGCTCAAACAGGCTCAATTGGAGGCTATCGAGAATATAGCCAAAGCTAATGCCATTGAAGGTATGGAATCCGTTGAAGTTAATTTCTCAATCTACTGTTCTAACCCTTCGGCCTTTGTACCACTCCAAACTGCCCTGCCTGTTACTCCTCATACCGCCCCAAACTGCCCCAGCACTGTATTGATTCATGGAGAAGTAAACGTAATGTAATACATTTTAGTACCAGAGCTAAAGGGTTAATTCAAAGAATTATATATTTGACTATTTATATAATTCACCATTCTGTCTGTCTCTTGGCTGTCTCTTATGTTTTATTAATTTATAAATTCCAATACCAGCTTCAAAACATGTCTTTTATAAAATTCTGAACCTGATATTTTTGTCATTTTCTGTGGACCAACTGAAATGCCAGGGTGAATGTTTTTTGTTTGTTTGTGTTTTTCGTCAGAAAAACTGAAGGAATCAGAGAAGACAATGGAAGAAGCTGTTGAAGAGGCTACAGTGGATCTCAGAGAAAGAATAGGTTAGATCAATTTTTTCCGCAATATAATTTTTTTCAATGATTTTTTCATCATCCAACAGCGGAAAATCCTCAATAACAGGCTTAAGTAAATTGTGTAATTTTTTTTTTTAACAATGTATTTAATAATAAATGTATTTAAAATCTAAATATTTCTTAATTTTTCTGAATTCACTGAAAGAAACGTTTATATACACATGAGTTTCCACAATGAGGATATGCCAATACGTACGACTTTCTGACATGTTTCCCAGCTGGAAATTTTGGAGGCTATTTGTAGTCCCTCTCATCCCCTACCAAGGTGATTCCTGTGGTCTCAGAATACTTTTGCTCCCCTCCAACTCCAAAACCCTCCCTTCATCAAACTGTTCTCCAAAATATTGTTAATATTTTGACGGATTTGGGAGTTTTAAAAGTCCAGGCACCATTACGTTGCATGGGACTTTGAGATTCCAATTTTTTATGGCAGTTCAAAGAACTAAAAGGTTACTGTTTATGTTGACTTTTCTCATACGCTGATAGTCTGAACTCACAAAATCAAAATGGCGGGCCGTTTAAAGTCGGATTTATGACATAGTGGTCAACCTAATTTAAATATCTACGCGCATACCAATAGGGTGCTGCATTAATCATTATGCATGAGTGTGCAGGAGAAGTTGGCCAATCAAGCTATAGGGGAGGCGGCACAGCACAGACGCATAGCCACCAACATCAGAAGCAAGAGGCCGTTGCCTGTCCTCATATACAAGTGTGTTGTGAGGTCAGGTCTCCAGCCTAACATGCTGAATTCATAGAATCTTCATGTAATTTTTTTTCCCTGCGCGTCTTTTTGCAGCCAAAATGGAAGCTTTGGACAAAGAGAGAACGAGAGGGGGCCAAGTCATTGAAGGTCAGAAATGTTTATTATTGCGTCTTCTTTTTATAAATCAATGATTTTTCATGGTCTTAATATGTGGGAGCCAATGTGTACATCGCCTGGGTGGTGTGTGTGTGTACGGCGAGTGTAGTACCCACTTCAGATGCAAGAAACCTGTGACTTCGTTGCAGAGGAACACGACTGAGCACAGGGATGCAACCCAGTCAATAAATTGCCAAAGACACCAATGAAAAATTCCCACACTTCAACAAATGGAAAAAATGTAAGGTGTTCAAGACGCATTAAATAAAAGTAGCCATCCTCTTCGTCGCTTTTTCATTGTTGAGTTGTTAAATCTCTTCTTTTTTTCCATCAGAGCCCATGTTTGCTAAGATGGAGGAGAGACATCTGAGTGCTGCTCCGCCTGATGCTAAGAACAACCTGCTAAACACGATGCGACCTGAAGAGTTGACGGATCTTCATAATCATCTCGGCGACAATCAAGGTAGAAAGACAACAATCTACCCTTCCATTTGACCAACACCTGCTTCAATTAGATAATGTTTTCCTTTCTTTTATCCTTAAGAAGGGCCATAAGATTTGAACATTTCCATTGTGTTGCAAGTTCTTTTTCTGAAAATGTTACAGAAGATTGAGTAAGTTGACCTAAAACACCTGCGAGATTTCACAAGAGTGCAGCACATTTGGGCACCATGTATAGAATCTACATCATGTGTAACGTCCTATTTATTTTGTGTCCTGACTGGGCCCATCCAATCTAGGACAATAAATGGTGTCTTGAAAGAAAAGAAAGCATTACAATTTACAACATACTGATGATATTGCGAAATGATGACTATCATAAAATTAAAATTGTTGACCTCAACTTCCGTTCAATCAATCACGCATATAACAAGTGGGTCAATTCAAACGCGGGAGTCTGTGACTAGACTAGTCAGTGTTTGGTACCAAGACGTTCACACAAAAAGTTGCTCCCCCTCGCTAACTGGCGAGACTTGCACGCTCTAAGGTTTCATTCTTATCGAGACCAGTAACGACCTAAAGAAAAAGTGAAAACTGAGGCGTGATAATAATACACACTCCTCCATCATAACCAACACCTGCTTCAACTTGACATTTTATTTTATTTCTTTTTATCGTACTTTATTTTGCTCTAAACAATCGGATCTCCATACTGTTGTGCTGCTACTTTTTGAGAAGTTCAAAGTGAGACTGTATCCACTGGCACATTTTCTGGAAGATTTTGCCAGAACATCATTTAAGAATACTCTAAACTGGAAGTTTTTTCGAAAATTCATTTCACTTTGTCATACATTGACAGTGGTTCTCATATTGGAACAGTGGATGTTGTTTTTCTGTTCAAACTGATAACAGAGTTATCTTAACCCTGCGCAGAGTGACCTGCTACCCTTTGGGCCCCAGGTAACCGAATTTTTGGGGAAAAAAAAAAATTGAGGGCCAATAACGTTCACCTCCTATCTAATCCTCATTCAACCCTTGCCAAAGCAGCTGGTTCAATAAACTTTGCAGCCAGGGCTTCACCCAGGCCGTGTCAACAAACTTTCGACAAGGCCTCCTGCCAAGTCTCATTGAAACATCAACAAAGACCTGTAACTTGACACAGCCATCTCCCTTCATATCTGCATACCACAGCCGCCAGTCAATTATCTTTCCAGCGCACTGTCTGGACACTGTCTGGACACTGTCTGGCACGTGGCTTTTTGTTGTATTGCTATGAATAGGGTCTTGCGTAGTGCGGGAAAGTACCTGATGCCCAGAGGGCAGCAGTTGACGAGTTGTTGTAAAGTTTTTTTGTAAACGCTGCGCAGGTTAAACTAAGCAAGCACTATTTGAATCGGGAGTTTTGTTTCCAAGTCTCTGGATGTTTTTGCTCTTAGTTCATGACATGCATTATTCAGAGCCAGACACAAACAACAGTCAATCTATAAAGATGTATGATTTGGAAGCGGGGTCTGTTTGGAATGTTTTTTTTTTTAACCTCTTAAATTTGATGAATAAATTTGTTTTGATTTTGGTTTGCTTTTGTTTGTAGAGTTGCTTGCTGAAGCCGCCGATACTTCCCTTTCAGAAACCTTGCATGATGATCCCACAGGTTAGCCTGCCCCAGCCCCTAACCCTTCTCCTTTCCCCCTCGTTGCTTTACTTTGGACTTCTGCATATCCACTCCAATTTTGGCATTGTGTAGGCTAGCATCCCTTGAAGATAATGCTCCCATGCTGCAATCAATTTTTGTAAAGATTTTATTTGCTTAAAATTTAACAAAAAATTCAGTCCAACTGACTATTGTCTTTTCTGTTAATTGCATGACCAGCATATATCTGCCACAAATTCCTTGTATTCCTCAAAATAAGAAAAGGGTATTCTAAGAAATCTTTGCTCGTATAGGACAAACGATTTCCTCAATTAAAAAAGTTTGTCTTGGAGAAGCTATGATAAAACGTCAAGGGACATATTGTGATGAGACTGGACCCCACCACTTCTGCTTATTGCAGTATTTCATGTATTTTCAGCTCACATTGATGAAAGAATAGAAGACGCTCTACAGCATAGTGCCAAAGAGATAGAGATACTGAAAGGTAAGTGAGATGGTAAGGTCATGTGATGTCAGGTCAGGTCCGAATAGGTCGGGTCAGAACAGGAAAGGTCATGACAGGTTGGCGCAGGTTTTTTGGGGGGTCAGATCAAGTCAGATCAGATCAAATCAGGTCAAGTCAGGTCAGGTCAGGTCAGGGTTGGGTTTTGGGGGGTCAGGTCAGTTTAGGTCAGGTCTGGTTGGGTCAGGTCACATCAAGTCAGGTCAAGTCAGTACAGGTCTCATACTAGGTCAGGTCCGGTCAGATCAATGAGGGATCGAGCTCCCATATCCATCAGCTCCTTGATTTCAGGCAATTACCGTAAATAACAACTTAAAATCAAGGCCTATCAAGGCCCCTCCCCCCAAAAAAATGGAATCATAGATACTGTCATTCTACAGTTTCTGTAACCTCTCGGGGTAAAAAGGAAGTTTCCTTCTAAAATCGACATCCAGTCATGAAACTGAAGAAATCAAGGGAAGCAAGAATGACTCATGGGTAGAGGAGATTGAATCAGTGGTCGGTAGTGGTTCTTATTTAGTCTCTGTGCTGTGGACTATTCTATGCATAGTACATGAAGGATGTTAAACACGACCTATAGTCACCTGTTGTAATTGATGATTTCCTTGAAAAAATGTATTGAGCTCCTCGTCGCTATAAGTTGAATTGATTCAATGGAGACTTGTTGAGATTGTTCAGTGTTTCTATTCTCTTCTTATTTCTTTGGAATGTACGCAGAGAAACTCCAAGCTTCATTGAGCAAGCAGAAAATGTACGAAGAGCAACTGGACAAGTTGAGACGTAAGTTGGCTTTTATTTGGATACGTGAGCTTAGCCGAAGAAAGTGTTGAAAGAGGGTCATTGAGAATCAAAAGACTCAAATGGCGTTTGCATGATCTATCCATTTGAAATATTAAGTCTTTGATTACCGTCTTATGCATCTGTTGCACCATTGGAGCCCATGAATTGACTGGCAATACACAAAGAATTATGTGGGTTTGTTTGGTGGATTAGTTATGTTGACCAAAGTCATTATAATTCTTGTCAGTTTCTTAATTTTGGATACTGTTTGGTACTAGGATTCTAGCTGTTTCATAAAAAAATACTGTACTGATTATATTTCCCTCTTTTAAGATTTTTACAGAAATTATTTTTCCTTTGTCAATGGTCATATTCTCTGCACACTGTTTACTTTGCACTGTGAGATTTTCAGGTTTTGGATTGATAACATAGCCCTGGAAAGCACTATAGTTTTTATTAAAGATGACCTATAAATATCTGTTTTGTCAAGTTGATACTTTGCCGGTTTTATTTATAGATTTTTCAAAACTTATTTTCACATCAATGTTTTTAATCTATCAGAGATGAAACGTTTCCGATTTTAATCGTAAATCCGTCTTTTCCAAATTTCTTTCTGATCAATAGATTTCATATCTTTACCTGTGTGTGTCGTCCATATATATATTTTGGAATCTCTTACATCAGAGATGTTTAATAAGTCATTGCTAATCTCAGGATTTTGTTTGATTTTGATGCGTATTAACCCTAAGCTCACCTAAAGCTACAAAATACTACTAGTAGTAATCTTTAGTAGGCAGTATTTCAGCATGCAAGTGGGCACAGCACTTGTAGTATTTTTTAGTATTTGGGTACTGCATACATAGTTTTTGTAGCACTTTGTAAGAAAGCCTTAGGGGTTCAGGGTTAAATACACGCATGACATGATAATTCAAATGACATCTACTTGTGATAGGAGATTTGACAGAGATGCAGAAGCGACATGAAGTCTTGGTGGAGGAGAACGAGACTCTGAAAGAGCAGTTAATCGACAGTCAGGATGAGGCGAGAGAAGCCGTGGACAGAGCGGAAGACCTCCAAGGTCTGTTAGACAAAAACCACATCTTTCATGTAACTCTGTGATTATGGAATTAAGTACCTTTCTGAGATAAAAAATAAAGCAATGCACATTTAACAATAAGTATATATCGATCTCAAGTGGGTGCGGTTTGGCGATTCCAGCGTTATTTTATGTCCGTGACACAGCTGTTAAGAGTACAGTGAATAAACCTGCAAATGTATTTTCCAAATCTTACACATCCATCATCTAGTAATGGTCAGGAGATTACATACTAGGAGTTTGGTATCATTTCTCCGAATCATTAATTAGATATCCTGGTTAATTGGCTCTGCCACCGACATTACATTTCCTTTCATACTGCTGGAACTGCCATATCTGCTGACTGAATCCCACCAAAAATTCGCTTTTCCAAGCTTAATCTCCCATAATGACTTTAAAGCAGGGTTCAAGAAATTCAATGAATCATTGAGCCTCAACTAGTGACTTCTACAGCCCAGTCGGTAATTGGGATTTTTTAAGTGTATTGTAATTTTTCCAATCCAGCCCAGATTTGGGAAGCATTACCGACACAGCATTGCTGCCTGCTGTGTAACTGAGAGAATCTACAGTTCTTTCTATTAGATTTTTCTCTTTTAAATCTTCTTGACTTAAAGTTTTTCAATATTTTTTGTTTCTTTAAACAGAGCAACTTGACAGAGTGGAAAACTCAGCCAAAGAAGTCAACGATCAGATTCTAGAAATAAGAGGTGGGCACCAATCCCGTTGTTATTCAGCTGAATTCCACATAAAGTTATTATTTTAGTTTTCAAAATCAGCTATCTGACACTTTCTTTTTGTGCAGATATTTTTAATATTCAGTCAAAACAAAAACTAGAGTGGGTTGGAAAGTGGGATTTGAATGGAATTTTGGGATTGGACAGATGCATTTGAGTATAATCTCTGAATATGAGAATATGAGCTCTGAATATGAGACTTTTGTACTTATGGTTGTTGATGATCTCCAAATTTGTTAACCCTTTAGTGATCCTAGCACCCAAAACCGCCCCACATATTACTTACTGTAGCGAGCACTCTACGGTTTTATTGATTCTTCAGTGAATAAATGCAATGTAGTACAATTTAATACAATGTAACACAATGTAGTACAATGTAATACAATGTAACACAATGTAGTACAATGTAATGCAATGTAGTACAATGTAATACAATGTAGTACAGGCTAATCTTTCTTCATTCAATTGTCTTTGCTCAACTAAAAAGTGAATGAGAATGGTTCATTCATTTTTTTGCGGTTTGTTTCAGATCAACTGATGGAAGAGCAGCAAGTAGCTAAAGCTAGTTCTACGGAGGCTACGCAGACAAAACGTTAGTACCTGCCGCTAAATTTATGAAATACATCAGCAGTGCTAGGATATTTCGTTAAGTTGCGTCACTGTTGCAATTGCCCCTGTAAACCATTTCACAAAACTTGTGTGGGGCCCCGCAAGTGTATTTATAGAACTACACGGTGACTGTTTCATGTTTGTATTTTGTGTGCATGGGTTGATTTATCAAAAAATTTCATAACTGATGATTCTTCAAATCACTTAGTGTGTTAAAACCTCCTATGCCATTGGTTGCACATTAAAATTAAAATGAAATTTACATCACCCCGACGCAAAATTCCATCTAATGAATAGTTAATGCGGTACCCGCTGCTATGTACATCAGATTCGAACCAGCCAACCCATCCCGTTTGCTCTGTGGTCGAGTGGTAAGACGTCTGCACTAGAAAGCAGGAGGTCATGGGTTCGAGTCCCACCCGAGTGATTTTTTTCCAACTTTCACTCGGGAGGTAACACACTGAGTATACAGTGATTATACGTCGGTGAAGGGCAAATTCCATCTTAAAAATTAAAATGGTTCTTCTTTTTCTTCTTCTTTTTTCAGAGCTGTTGAGTAAAGAGCAAGAGGCCTTAAAACGTCAGGGAAGCCTGCTGGAACAGATACAGAGTGAGTCATGGAACAATTCCTTTGAAGTCATTGAACAGACTTTGCTCATTTGTAGTAAAAAGTAAAAGTCGTGAGTGTTTAAAGAGGTCGTCGGATGGGAATGGTCGCTCATCAAATAAAAGAGAAAACATACTTCCCTGTAATCCTGTTTCAAAAATTGGTATAACCCAAAGATATTTTTTTTGTTCTGCATTTTTTTGTTCTTGCAATCTTGATAAGTCTGAAATCTGTGTCAGTATTTAAAACAATGTTGAAATATTTTACAAAAACATATCATCAGATTGTGCGAACAATTACTTTTTGACAAAGAACTTTATTAACCAATAGCATCACAAGCTGAATGTCATTGGAATAAAATTTTGCCATAAATCGTTAAGATTTATGAATACAATATCATGCACAAAGTTTGTATGAAAAAGGGAATTCGCTCATTCAGTCAATTATTTAAAGATATAGTCCATCATTTGTAATTCGTGCATTTTGTTCGTTTGAAGCAACAGAGGTGCTCAAAATCTAAAGAAGGGTACTGAACAACTAACCTGATGAAGTTTCAGCTCAGCTTCAGCTGAATATTCTGAGAAAAACAGCATTCTAGGATCTCAATTTCAAATCAAAAGTTGCTGAATCATGTTTTGAATTGCGCCTGAATTCAGCGTTCGAGACACGTTCTCGCTCAGCCAATTACAGCTACGCGATGTCGCGCACTGATCCGACAAATTATAGCAACCGGGGGTGCGTGTGCGTCGTGCCAATGCTTGCGCGCGCTTCGCCGAATAACAATAACGAACTACTAATTTAAATTTTCCAACGGTGCGTCTTAAGAAGCACCGTTGGAAAGGCCTTCTTTCGTTGATTTCTTCAAAATGACAGCTTGCCAGAAAGAATAATTTCACAGGGAGTTTAGTCCCCTTACTATCTTTCAACCAAGTATGTTTTTCAACAATAATTACGCCAGCTACTTTTTGGATAGCTGCAACTGATGGACTATAGCTTTAAGTCCAGTACTTACACTTTTATGGCAAATCATGAGTAAAAAAATTGAGCTCATAGCATCACACTTTACTCAAAGAGTTAAAAGTCGCAATGTTTTTTCCTGTTTTCTCAGAACAATTGAGAACAGTGGAGGAAAAGAGTTTGGAAACGGAAGCATCAATGGATGACTATCAAGGTCAGTAACTCCTCATGTTTATATCTCTTCTCTGGCCCCCTCTATTCCTCCCCACCCCCCCCCCCCCCAAAAAAAATAAATACTATTTTTAAAAGTTGCTGTACCTGTGCTTTCGTAGTTTGGATGTTTTCAGCCGTCTGAAAATACACTTTTATTCTGAGTTCCTTTTGTCTCAGAACTCACAAAAAGACGTGTCTGAATTATTGTCTGTCTGCAAATAATGCAAAATTTGCCAAAGTAAATATTCCATAACTTAACGTGGGCGTTTTTTTCGTGTTCGACATCTCATTCATAACTTTTGTAATGCCAGCAAAATAGCAATTTAAAAACAAATTCTATTTTTGTGGTGAAACTCGATAATGGAACTGGGAGAGACAATGTAAAGTACAAAAAGGTTTTTTTTTTTAAACTGTCTGAAACTGTTCCCAATTTTCCCAAAACTTTCTTAAATTCAGTCCTCAAAAATTGGTCCAGTTCCAATAGTAATTCTTGCCTCCAAGAGCTTCACAAGTTTAATGCAATTGTATGTTTTTGCAATGTGATTATTTATAGGGAAACGTAGTCACATTCCTTTCATTTTAGAGATCAGTGTGACTTTAAAGAGCTTGTTAGTAACAGTGTCTTTGTATGGGATTTTACTGGAAGATGTAAAACAAAACTTGATAAGAAGCTTTCAAAAACCTGTCTGATTAGAAATATATCATTTTCATACTCTTATGACTGTTTCACAGACCAAATAAAGACTCTTAAAGAAGAGCTGGAGAAAGAGAAACAAAAACGGCAGCAGCTGGAGAAGGAGTCTACACAAGCCAAGCAAACCGTACAGCGACTGCAGGCCCATAGTGAAGAGTTGGTGGCTCGGAGGCAAGGTAGGCTCCTTACCAGCCGGGAATTAATTCTAGAGATAGTTGCTTACATGTAGGTTTCATTGTTAATCATATCAGAGCTGAGCTTTTTGTCTCTTAAAGGAGGATTTTTTGACAAGGGGGATAATGTAAAAGCATGGAGCATACCGTTCCAGACACTGAGTTTGCTGGTTCTAGACAGAACCACACAGTACTGGAAGAATGAGATTGGTGATATGGTCCTACCTTGACATTCCATTCATTGATAATTCCACTGTGGAGAACTTGATGTTTTGCTTTGGTCATGTTCAGAATTGTAAGTCAGTCACAAGTCAGTCACAAGTCAATCACAAGTCAAGTCACAAGTCAGTCACAAGTCAGTCACAAGTCAGTCACATGTCAATCACAAGTCAGTCACAAGTCAGTCACAAGTCAATCACAAGTCAGTCACAAGTCAGTCACAAGTCAGTCACAAGTCAGTCACAAGTCGTCACAAGTCGGTCACAAGTCAGTCACAAGTCAGTCACATGTCAGTCACAAGTCAGTCACAAGTCAGTCACAAGTCAGTCACAAGTCAATCACAAGTCAGTCACAAGTCAGCCACAAGTCAGCCACAAGTCCGCCACAAGTCCGCCACAAGTCGGTCACAAGTCGGTCACAAGTCGGTCACAAGTCGGTCACAAGTCGGTCACAAGTCGGTCACAAGTCGGTCACAAGTCAGTCACAAGTCAGTCACAAGTCAGTCACAAGTCAGTCACAAGTCAGTCTCAAGTCAGTCACAAGTCAGTCACAAGTCAGTCAGTCTTGAGTTAAGGCATTCTTCTAAGTAAATCATGACTGGACACTTTATCTCATTTGACATTGTCATGTGATTGACTTGTGATTGATCGTGTGATTTGATTGACCTGGTGATTGACCTCGTGATTGACTTGTGATTTGACTTGTGATTGATTTGTGATTGACTTGATCACAACTCTAATGCTTTGGTTTGTTGTGCTCTTGTCACAGAAACACAGAAGAGCCAGCCCACTGCTCATAAAAGCCAGTCTACTCCAGCCCTTTCATCTGGTATGTATTTACTTAAATAAGTTTGCTGACTGGTCAAATGTTATAAAGATTGTTGGAGAATATTACCCAGAATGTTTCCTTTGTTGTGGTTCACAGAAAACCTTGCCCTACAGACGAAATGCAAGGAGCTGACGGCTAAACTAGCGGAAACGGAGGACAAACTAAATACGTGAGTATCACTGACAACGTTGGTAACCTGTGCAGAGTATAAGTGATGACAATAAAGTGCGCCATGAAGAACTTACCACAAGAGGCCTTGTTTTTTTTAAACACTTCTTGGAAAACTTTAAGTTTTTTTATTAAAGCATGGTGCTTCTCCAGTGTGTTGGTTGTCTGTTTTGGAATTGGTTGACAAGGCTTCCAAATGTATTTGTGTTTGTGTGGTTCTGCTTGGAAAGAATGAAGACAATTTAAGAAGCTGTAGGAATTTGTATTCTGGATATGGGCACTTCCAGAGTATGAAAGAAAGTGTAATGTCTGTGACAGAGCAATAACCAGGATATCTAATTGATGATTCAGAGAAATGATCCCAAACTCCTAGTCTGTAATCTCCTTGACCATTACTAAATGATGGATGTACAAGATTTGAAAAGTTCATGGTCAGGTTTATTCACTGGGCTCTCAAAAGCCTGAAGATGATGTTCTCTGTATAAAATCACTGCAAATTTTACATCAAGAAAAAAATCTACAAAGTAGCTCTTTTATTGTAATGATCAGATTTGCTTGTCAACTGAGTGACAAGTTAGTTGCTGGTCAGTGAAGACGGGGTCCCAAAATTAGACTTTTTTTTTTTTTTATTCCACAGAACAAGAAAAGAAAGCGGCAAGTTGAATCAGGATGCCAACAAGCTCCAAATCCTGCTCCGGGAGGCAGAGGCCAAACGACGGGCGCTGGAAGATCTAGATTTCCAACGGAAGAAAGAACTGAAGGAGTCGGCCAAGGAGGTTGAGAAGGCAAGACAACAGGTTGGTAGGAAAATAAACTAGTCCTCTGAGTAGATGTCGTACTTTGTAAGAGAACTGTGAAAATGCATCTTTCTTTTTTTCTTTTATGTGAAAGCATAGTACAATGGTTTGCTCCAAGACCATTGTCCAAAACCATCGTGAGGATTTATTCAGCATTCCAGGCCAAATTATTTCACAGAAGGCTTGATCTTATCATTGAATGTTCCCAAATGGTGTCGACTACCTTTAAAGGCCGAATTTCTTTTTTTTGGGGGGGGGGTTGGAGTCACATTAAGGGCTTTAGTCTTGATTCAAGACTGCAAAGTTGTCCCGGATACCAGGCATCTGAGTCTTGTCAAAGTTGGCACAGCTCCCCAAGAATTAAAACTAACAAAATTTCATTGAGGGCCAGCAGTGCAAAAGGTTGGGTCAGTTCTACAAGGATATCTATGGGCTGTAAAATTTTACGTTTTGAACGGCAATCTCTGTGTTCTGGAAATCAGGAAAAAACCTATGAGTTTCTATTTTTCCAGTCTGGAATTTTGTCAAATTTGGGTGCTTTCATGATCGTTCTTATTTTCTGTACTGTTTTATGTTTGTTTCTTTGTCAGTTTACTTGGTTTTTTTATATGAGTTTGTCAATTTACTTGTTCTGTATTTTTCCTTATTAGTTTGTGTGTCTTAAAAAAATACATTTAAAAAAAACACCACAAATCAGGAAAACCTCCGGCAATTTGATAGTGACCCAGAAGGCAAAGGTTTTTGCCAGTTTGGCATATATGTGTGTCTTGTGCCACATGTCCAAGTTGTGTTCAATGACTGACTGGCTATGGTGGCTTTTTAGTGTTCAAGGCAGTGTGAATATAATAGTTCTGCTTCCGGTTACCCTACCTACCCTTGGACAGCCCTACCCTAATTTTTTTTTTCGGTGGGGGGGGGGGGATGAGGAAAAACCAAAAAAACCATCAATTATAGTACTACCTTTTACCCTTGATTACACCCAGACACCTAGATATGATCAACACCAAAAAATGCCCCCAGTAAACAGAATTCTGTACCTACCTACCCTATTTTCAAATGCCATGTAATCAGAAGCAGAATTATTTCTTTTTGGCCTTTGACCTCTAGACTCCCCAGCAACCTTTTAAAGTGAAAATATTTCTTTTGGAATTTTGGAAATTTCTCAGGGGAATATCAGGGAAAACTCAGGCAAGTTTGATTTTTATTAAGTGCTGGGAAAGCTGCTCTAGTATCAGAATTGTTCTTGTCATTAGCCAATCATGTGTCACAGTTGATTTGAGCACCTTGTCACTGAGACTGGAGGACATTTGATTGACATGTGGAGACCTGACAACAAACCTTGTCTTACATTCCTGCGCAGTTGACCAAATCCTTAGAGGAGAATCAACACATGGAGGAGAGAGTACGAGCCTCGGAGCTTGAGAAGGCCAGACTAGAGCGGGAAGTACGAGAAAGCCCAACAGTCCTACAGGCCGGCCCAGCTGTAAATACAGTAAGTAACATGGCCGATTCCAGCACAATAGCGGATTGTCAGCCAAAATGTTATGAACACTTCATTTAAAATGTGTAGTAGACATATCAAAGATTACAAATATCAATAAATCTGAACATCAAAAAAAAAATTACTCCCCCCCCCCTTCACTTTTTTGGTTTTCTCCACTACTGCCTGTGCCCAGTTCATCTAGTTTTGCCAAAACACCTCACTTAGAATATAAATTTGCTGATTTCAATTTCCAAATTACTGGCTTAGCATATAATTATTATTGCTTAGCAAATTTATATGCAATGTATGAGTTGACTGAGAACCAATATGTTGCTTTTTACATTGCATGACCTTTTGGCGGGTAAACTCATTTAAAAAAAAAATCTTTCTTTGTTCTCATTTTTTGGCTAATTTTCATTTCAAATCTTAGTGAGTTCTGTGTTTATCAGCTCCATGATATACATGTGAACCACATTTCACTTAATGCCAGAGTGAAATTTGTAATGGCTTGCTCATTTCCCCCCCCAACCCCCCCCCCCCCCCCCCCCCCCCCTCACAAGCTCTTTTCCAGTTCACTCGGCTTCGCCTCGTGAAATGGAAAAGTCCAGATTTTACCTTGCAATAATATTCCTCCCATTCCACGCTGAGCCACTCAATATTTGTATAATATTATCCCTAACCCTACCAGACACAACACAGTGCATCAGGTGTAAACATCTGTGCGAGACGTTGTTGCACTGAGCAATCAACGCCAGTTGCATGAACGGCAAATTCTGAAACAATGAGAACTAGTCCCATTGAACAATGCAAATGTTGTATCCTGCTGCAGTCAGTGACCACAGACTCTGAGGCAGTTTGGCCTTGATACGTTTGACCTGATTGATTTTTGCTACTCTCAGCAGGCTTGTCATTACGAGTGTTGCATGTTGCTGCGTTCAGTAGGGTTTCTAGCCAAAATACCCAAGGGCATTAAGATTAAGATGTCCACATGAGCGAAATAACAATATGGAGCGCAGAGCATGCAGTTACTACAGCCTGTCTAAAAAAAAATGGTACAATCGAAAACAATTTTTTTTTTTCAATATTAAATCTCAACATAAGTAAGTCGTTTTGAGCACCACATTAAAGAAAAAAAGACCAGGCTTTCCAATACTTTTTGTTTCATCTCATTTGCTTTTGTCAATCCAGAGATAACTCCAGTTTACTGCGGAACACAAAAATCGAGTTTGTTTCTTTTGCCAAGTTGCAATCTTTTGTGAGCTTCAAGACAGCATGGCACAGTACTCGAAACAACTCTGCCCATGCATAAAAGTGGCACAAAATCGATTTTGGTGTATCGCACTAAATTGATTATATCTCTGAATTGACAAAAGCAAATAAGATCAAACAAACACTATTGTAAAGCCCAGTCTTTGTTCTTTAATATTTTGCCAAGTAAGAATGACTTATTTTGAAATTTCATATTTAACCAATTTTTATTCTGATTGTACCATTTTTTTTTTAGACAGGCTGTACTGCATACTCATTGTGATAACTGGTCTCACAAACAGAATTTACTTGGTTGAAAATGTGGACGTTTTTATGAATGCCTAATTAATCAAAATCTAGGTAGGGCCCAATTTTATGGCGCTGTTAACAGTTAGCAGAAAAGTTGCTCTTACTATAGCAGAAAATTGTGCTGACCTTAAGCACTGTGTCACAGCGTGGATGTGCTAACGGTTGCGCACACATGGAGATTTCTATTGTTACATCACTGATTCCAGCAACTTTTTCCTCTGAGGTAAGCGTGCTTATTGCTGTACTTACTGCTTACTGTCTCCAGAAGTAGACAAAGGCTCTGTTAGCAGAACATTGTGTGCTTAGCAGCGCCATGACATTGGCTTCCTGGGCAACATGTGACTTAATTTGTCTGGTTTGCTCATATTTATGTTTTTTTCTTCCTCAACTTTCCTCTGCCACAGGTTGTTCAGATGAAGTACGTGCCCGTCATCGTCATCTTGATTGCCATCTTCGCTGCAATTGTACAATTCTTGGTCGCCATGTCATCTTCTGTATGACAATGCTCTTGTTAGCTGCACTGCATGGATAAAAACAAAAAAGGAGGAAAAACCTCCCCCCAAAAAAAATTCAATCAATCAAAAACCAATTATAAGATGGAATTTTGCGTCGGGGTGATATAAATCAATATCAATATAAATCAAAAACCAAACAAACACCTGTTGCATGCACATTTGTATTTAGTCACAGTTCATGAAACTTCTGAATTCGTCGCAGTTCATGAAACTTCTGAATTCGGAACAGTATGACAAAATCTCTTACAAGGCTGTAGACTTTTCAGGTACAAATAGATTCAGAACCAGAATTTCTTGAAAATACATTTTCTTCAGTTTTCATTTTTGTTTGAAAATGGTGCGAATTCCTCTCTGAGATGGCTGGTAAACTTGGAGCCATCTCATGCTTCACTTATCACCTCTCATTCCAGTTGATAGGCGGCAGAGAATTTGGTTTCCCTGCGTTCGATAATTTAAATTGCGTGGGTGCCGCCATTAAAATTTCATCAAAACTGATAAATCTACACTGTGGGAATGCTTTGCTTGATTTTTTATTTTTTTTATTTTTTTATTTTTTACCTTTACTTATCAACCAAAAGTTTATCAACTTCTGGATAAAAATAAAATGCAAAAGCAAAAGGCCAAAAACAGGATCGAAAGTGTTTGTGTTTTAGGCACACTACTCAGAGCTGTGAACTAGCCTGAAAAAAAAAGCTGCATAAACAATGTTTGGGAAAAGTTGAGTTTAGAAAGGGAAGGAAAACCCCTCAAAATAACAACAAAATATGATACAACAACCGTGGCGGGATTCGAACCCAGGTTTCAGAGTTGGATGCCAAAGAATGTTAATGTGACACTGAACCCTGCAATGAGAATTAAATTGTTAAAAGTTTCCTCATTTTCTTGTAAGCACAAAGGGTTCTTTCGTGTTTCAGTGAAATGAATTGTACGCACGAACTTAAGTGAAATTGTTCTTGTGAATTTGGAGACGCGGAGTTGTGCACAGTACTTTGGCCGTGTAGGTTGGGTGGTATATAAGCCATCTCCAGTTGCAGAGTAACTGCCTTACATGTCGGTAGCAGAATTTGGAATTGTAGAGAAATATTCAAAATGTTATTAGTTTCACATATCTCTGCAAGTGCAATTAATTTTGGCACTTTGTGAATTATGTAAGGAATTTGGCATGTTTGTTGTATTACTTAGTTGTTACCTTATTTCACCGTGATAGACAATCATGTCCGAGGTTCAAATCCATGCAGTGCAGTTCTCTATGTATATTTCTGTACATATGTAATTTGTACACCGTAAAAAGGTTGCGTCTTTTTTGTATTTCAAGGAATATATAGTAATCATGTAAATATGTGTACCTTGGGGCTGAGCATGAGGTTGACCTCTTGGGATTCCAACCACCAAAAACTGACGCTCTCACACAAAAACTCAGCGACCTGACCACAATGCATTGTGTTTCCTGTCTATATGCAATGATGTACCATCTTTTAGTGAAAGAGGCAGATTTCCTGTCGTTCTGTTTTCAGAGATTTCAATTTAGGAAGAAATTTTGAAAGTAAAAACCTTGTTGCTTTATTAGTTTTTCACTGTCCTGAGTAAGACAGACTAAATTATCTTTAGTTGTACGTTTGTTAGATCTTGGTGGGAAAAGTTCAAACTGCACAAAAATGGATCTGTTGATGGCAACGCACAGTGAATGAATTAAAAACGAAATTATCAGAGCCATATAGGTGGGCGAGGACATCCAAGAATTTGTTTACATTCGCTTATCTAGCTCCCAGACCTATGTTCTTGAAACTCAATGGTTCTTGAGTCTGGAGTGCTGACTGGTAACACAGCAACCGATGAAAACTGGTGTGCATTTGAATACATGTCCATGTTTTCATCGGATGACGTCAGCCCCCCCCCCCCCCCACCCCAACCCACCCTATATTGAAAGTCTGGATTCTTTTCTTCTTTTTTTCCAAATGAGTGTAAGCAGGGAACGGTTAAATTTGGCATGTAGGGTGGTCAAGTAATATCAAAGTCTGCCAAATTTTTCCCATTGTTCCATTTTATTTTCAATAACAAACCATTTTGAGGTCCTTTTCTCTAGCATTCTGGGAAAGGTGATCTCGTAGATTAATGTCACGTAGATTAATGAGGTAATTGTTAGTCAAATATCTGTTTGCTTGAGCAGACGTGCCACATAATACCTCAAGTGTGTTTCATATGGAGAGAATATAAATTTAAATAGGCGATAATTCAAGGTTTAACTTGACATCAAGGTTTCTGGAGGTTTTACCGGGTTTTGCGGGATATCGTTTAATGAATTTTGCATTCTTCTCTAACCCCACCAATAATTGTTTAATAGTGTCCTAATGAGCAGAATTAATGGCATCGAAATCTGTCTGTGTATGCATATCTCGTCTTCCACATAGTTAGGCCCACATTAAGCTCAGGCCTGGGATATGAGGATTCAGTATACAGAAAATGAACAAGGACCAAAAATTGACATGTTTTTTTTTCATGCTTTGATGTAAACCCTTCCCCAATAAAATGTGCCAATTTTGTACAGATCATGACTGTATCACAGTTGCATGGGCTTATAAGCATAAAATAGGCTGGAGGAAAGACTAGCAAAGATGTCTTGCTTAGCGAGAATCAGCTAAGCAATATATCCTTTCCCACGGCACTTTGCCTGGTACTGTTTTTTTCCCCCTCCGAAACAAAAAACTGTTGTAGTTTCATGGATATTTATTCTTAGGCCCTACCAAGTATTACTTCCAAAGAAGTATTTTCAGAAAAAAATTGACTTCGAGATTAGTTTGGTTGTAATGGTCCGTGTTGTAATTTAATGGAAAATGATAAAATCCTGTTGTCATTAAAAACAGGATGAAATGAGAATTTGATATTTTTGTATGTGTATAATGTGTGATTGTACAAACAAAAGATGGGTAAGTGAAGAGTAGATATGTTATTGTGTTGTACATAGCAAGTGTATATCGAGTTATGTTTGAGACGGTCCCATTTAGGGTCTACCATCTCTGCACGTCTGTTTCCCTGATCTTAATTTTCGATTGTTGGGTAGGCTGATATTGTTTGGAACAGAGCATTGGTGGAGCACACACACACACAAATCTAGTCATTATGTGACCTTTGTTTTGACATTTGAAAGGTCGTAGGTCCCTGGTCGATAATCAGGCCAACCAGATAAAACGGCGTTATGCAAAATGGGGTCGTGGCCCCAGAAAGTTCTGGCCTCCAAAGAGAGTGTGGTCGTTAGCTTGCTGGCTGCTTATTGGCCGACTTTTGATTGTTTGTTAAAGTGTGACACCAGGTTTCCAACCATCTTCCATCCGCTACCTCCCCCGCCATACTGCGATTTTTTTCCCCAAATATTTCGACATACCTTTTCTTTTGAATAGCACTTCTGTCCAGAAATCGATTGGAATGTGTTTTAGGGCCCTTTAAGCATCTTCCCTGCAAGTTTCAAGCAGTTTCATTTTTTTTCCGGCCAAATATTGAGAAAAATCCAAGGGGTTAAACTTGCATTTGTAATCAAAGTTGGCCCAAAATGACCTTTCTCCAAACAACACAGAAATTCCGTTGGAGGCAAGAGGATTATCAATCAATATTCAAACATCCAAATTTTTGAACGTTTTTGATAAAATCATAGATTTTGGGGGGAAACAATTCGGCGCAAGTTTTTTTGAATAGCACTTCTGTCCAGAATCGAGTTGGGATGTGTGTTCTTAGGCCCTTTATCTTCCCTGCGAGTTTAAACAAGTATCACTTCTTAGGGAAGCTATAAGTCTAGCCCTGTAATAAATCTGACTGTAATATACTCTTTGCAAAAAAGCCAACATTGTATGGTGTAAATAAGTTAGATTGTCTTTGTCATTGCGCCTATTTATGACAGCAAAGGCGACTGGGTGTACTGTGTAAGGAAGAATTGAGTTTGAGTTGAAGAATATAAATAATAAAAATTGTTTATTATGAACTTCAGCCAGTTTTCGTATTTGTTTCTTTTTTTTCAGTGGAATTCAACAAAAAAGCCTTTGTTTCTGTTCTGATTTTTTTTTTCTCCCTAGTTTCTTCTTTTTGTTCCATGCAAAATCTCATATACTTTGTACACGATTTTTGTACATGCCTCTTTTGGCATTGAAATTTGTCAAACATTGCCCTTATAGCAAAGTTGTGTCTCGAAGAGTGACGTCATGATTACGTCATCAGGGGTCACGTGACGTCATCACAAACGTGCATATTTTGAAGTCCTATATCTAAAGAACAGTAAGTCCGATTGGGTTGAAACTTGGTATGTGGGTAGACCGGGATGTGTTATAGATAAAAAAAAAAAAAAAAGGTAATGTCATGATGACGTCATCGTGCAATTTTCAAATGAATTTTTGTATTTTTGGACCTTGCCGCCATATCTCACGAACGCAACATGCAAAATTCAAAATTCTTTGTCCATTTGGTTTGTTAGGTAATAGGTATTTGCACAAAATTTTGAAAAATGTGTGACGTTATCATGACGTCATCAAAAATGCGATTTTTCAAACAAATATCCGAAAAGGTCCGATTGTCATGAACCTTGGTGGGTAGGTAGATAGTAGGTGGTGGGTAGGTACTAGTGTGCAAAGTCCGAAGTGACGTCACGATGACGTCATCGTTTGATTTTTTTATAATTTTTTAATATTTATAATTTTATTCTGCTTCCAAAATTGCACACTTCCTTTCATCGGGTTGAAACTCGGTATGCGGGTAGACCGGGATCTGTTATAGGTAAAAAATTTGTTACCGGCACTTTGGGCACTAAAATTAATCCGATTGCCTTTATACTCGGCACACACTTTGACCAGCATCTGAGGTTGCGTGCCGAACATTGCCGTCATCATGACGTCATCACGTGACCCGTGACGTCACAATATAGGTGCATATTTTAAAGGCCTATATATCACCAGAACTGCAGGTACGATTGGTATGCAACTTGGTATATATCTAAACCGGGATGTGTTATAGATAAAAATTGAAGTGACGCCACGATGACGTCATCACGTGACATGTGACGTCATATTAAAGATTGGGTTGAAAGTCGGTATGTACCTGGACCGGGATGTGTTATAGATGAAATTGAAGTGACGTTATGATGACGTCATCACGTGACAAGTGACTTTATATTAAAAGTGAAGACTTTGAAGGCCTTTGAAAGCCTAAAAAGTTAACGAAACAGCCCTGTGTTTGTCCACAAACATAAGTCTAGTTTGGTCTCTGTTTTTGCTTGCGTAAGTAGAGAGTACAGTATCTTATAGATAAGCATGGCCCAAACTTTAAGGACCCATTTCCCTACATTCATACGACCGCCGACGGGCGCAAGATGGCTCTGGAAGATATGTTGTACATGTACATGTATACAAAGGAAATTTCAAAACACCAGTGTTTAAGAAGGAACACGAAGAGGCCGTAGGCAGCAGGTTTCGGCTCTTTCCTGGGGTCTTAATGTGGAATACATGTACTTTGGTATTCTCCGTACATTGGTTGACTACGCTGCTGCCCGTTTTGTCTTTATGGCAAATGTGCAACAGTTACACTGAACTTTACCGAAACGGCATGGGTGCTCGTTTCATCTTAAATGAGATTGCCAAAAAGAAACTCACAACTACTCATAGTTTGCGAGTTGCGACAGTTTGTTACCAAAACATAAAAGGTAAAACACAAATGTAGCCTACAACTTACATTGCCAGTATCGTTTTTGCCTTTTGCAGATGCCAAATAGCACACAAAATATAACCATACCGAACTGAGTGTTAATGATCATTGCAGAAATACAGAAAAGGAGCTAATGCAGGGTGATTAAATCTTTCATATTTATAAGCAAAGACGTCTCATCATGATGTCAAAAGGTAAGGGCGTGTATATGCATGCACGTATAGGTTTGGACATAGGTTCCTAGCTCCGTGACCTTTACGTGCCACTATCAACTAGTGATAAAGGTATCCATAGTTGGGTCGCAATGCGAAATCCAGTCTTTTATAACCTTATATGGAAACATGGTCTCACAATAGTTAACGAGTTCTCAGTATTCTGTGACCTTTCGTCCTTGCCACACTACCCAGTCCGGCATTTAAAAAAAAAAATCGGCATTTAAAAAAAAATTAATTTTTTTTGGGGGGGGGGTGTATTTTATAGGTTTTCCCGGCCATTTTAAAACATTTTTTATTCAAATTCACAAGCTCTAACATTCATTTTCGTCCGAGAAAAATTTCACCTCTTAACAACACCAATGTAGTCATTAACCGTTCAGTTTCAAAGTTTGGTTACCGTCTTTCGTCACCGGGTCGAGAATATTCGTCATTACAGATCAAATTTGTCTATGCTGTTGCCAAATGGCAGCATTTCAGGGATCGAATTTGTCTTCTTTAAATCAATAAGACGAATTTGATTTCTGAATAACAAGCTTTGGCGTAGACGAGACGAAATCGAATACACCGGGACAACAACGTGTGCTCGTTGTTTAAATTTGCTGGAACTGAATTTGAAATTGTCTGACAAAAGTTGAAAGTGCACTAAATCGATGTTGATGATCGAATTTGAATATTAGAAACGGTGAATTCGAATGATAAACGTTCTAAAATAGCCGGGAAAACCTATATTTGGTCGATTCAAAACAAAATATGTTGTCTTCATGGTGCGATGGTTCTGTTGCGGGATATGAGACATTTTTTTATTTCTGATCAAATGCTTTCCCCAAGTGTTTTAATTTGTGGTTTCAAGTTCCGTAATTGTCTGAAAAACATTCTCAGGAAGTCACCACAGACGTTTAAAATCACACACCGAATCACTAGCTATGAATACATCTCATAAACAATGATGAAAATAAATCATTCCTTGTATGCCGTTTAATTTAAATCGTAAGTGCCACAAAAATATAATCCATGGGTTTTTTTAAACACTGAAAACTGAAGGCTGTTTCGATAAAAGACAAGTTGTGTTTCGTTACTTCTCCAAAGATGTCAGATCTAGTCTCCAGGTTTGGCAATACCAGAATCACTGATAGTTGACTTCATACAGTGAATTCTATCTATTGCCAAAAATAGAGAGTCGAGAGTTGTTTTGGTAGCGGCTGGTAGTTCTTGAAGAATGCCAAAACTTGACCGATTTCTCTCTATTTTTCAAAACTTTATTCATCCATGAACAGAGAACATCTGGTCGTCACCAACGTCAGACGTGGCACTGAATAGAATAAAGTATCCAAAAGCTTTATTTCGAAAAGAAACATTACCGAAATGTTTTCAGCTGCCATTCATGCCGATATTTCGTCTGTGATTGCGTATGGATAAGATTTTAACCGTCACTTCGTAATAGTTTGACTTTGTTCAATGTACTTTAAGTGTGCATGCCTGAATACCATCTTTCATCAGATACGTTACAACTCCTTGTTTTTGTCTCGTTTTCTCCTAATGAGGCATATATCAACTACGTTTTCTTCAATAATTGCGATGACATCAATGGCGGATCCAGACGACGATTGGGGGGGGGGGGGCCAGAAAAAGGGGGGCTGCCAAAAAGTGGGTCCAAAAATTACGGCGTGGGGGCGGGGCCCGCTTAAGGATACCGAAAATGTTTTTGGATTCTAGATGTTCTGTGGTGCGATCTGAGGCAATTTCTGACAACTTTGACCCATTGTTTTTTAGGAAAAGATGGTGGTGTACGCAGTGCCTGCCTTTATTACGATGTCACTTAAAAACAAAATTGGGTTTGTTTTTTGGGGGGCCATGGCCCACGTTGCCCCCCCCCCCCCCTGGATGACATAACGCCTATTTATAGTACGTTGGTGAGGAGGATACATTTTTTTAATGCTGCTGTTAGAATTGGTTTTGGTTTGGTCCCTCCGGTCCAACAGACTATATGCGTAGCAGTCAACTTTGAGGACAAGTCCTGTGTTGCACTGGGATATGCACCGGAGTAGACATTTTTGTCTTCATTGTTACTGAATTAAATTGACAAAACAAAACTCGCTCTAAGATGGCCGCTATATGCATTCGGTCTATGTGTGTACATTAAAACTATAGTTAGCTCATAAGCAATATACAGGGTGAGTTTAAAAAAAAAAAAAAAAAAAAAAAAAAAAGAGAAAACCCAAATTGCAGGACCATTTTTTCAAATGACGTTCTGCATGTAGAACTTTCAAAATCAAGGATATGAAAGCCTAATTAATAAGCCTTCTTTTAAAATAAGCATCATTCAAATCACTTATTTAGTTTGTAAGTTACGGAATTTTGAACACACACACCGTTTTAAAACTCTGTCCACGGATTACAAAAAAGGTATACAGGATTAATTTCAACAAAACGAAAACCATTCATAGGGATGTGTGTACATTGTTTTCGTTTTGCTTGAAGAACACTTACCCGTGTTTGTGATCTGTGGACAGGAACTTTAAAGCAGTGTTTGTGTTTAAAATTCTGTAACTTGAAAAGTACATGAGTGATTTGAATGATTCTTGTACTAAAAAAAAGCTCATTAATTGGGCTTTCATATCCTAGATTATGAAAGTGCTAGAACGTCATTAAAAATAATGGTCCTCGTATTTGGGTTTCCTTTTTTGACTTCCCTGTATTGTACGTTTTCTTTGCGTGGCTGCTATTCTTAAAATAAATCTTATTTCTCTCAGAAGGGGTGTCCTCAATGTCCTTTGTAATGAAGCATATACATAGGCCTATACATGGGATTAAAACCAAGATATCAGCCATTATGTTAAGCATTCATTCAATCTTCAAGTTGATCAAACGAAAAGAGCACATGTGTTGACATTATGAGAATCTTCCAAACTGCACCTTTCTTTGGGGGTGTTTTGTTAATTAATATATTGAAGACACATGGAATTAAATGTCGTTTTTTGACTGCAGAAAAGAAACATCGTGAAGGTTTGCAAAATTTCTCGAAGTTTTAAGCGCTACAGTTGAAAAAAATAGACCTACATTTAAAATCAAATATACGTAGCG